AAGTCTCTAGTTCTTTATTTTCAGGGCTATAAATACGTTAACTTCAGGTTTGACTGACTGATCTTGGTTGGTTGCTGGAGAAAGTCTCTGAAAAGTATCATCTGCATCTCAGCTTGGTGGCTTACGCCTCTCTTCCCAGCATTGTGTGTGTATGTGTGTGTGTGTGTGTGTGTGTGTGTGTGTGTGTACACATATATACATATATAAATACATAAATTAGTTGGGTGTGGTAACATATGCCTGTGGTCCCGACTACTTGGGAGGCTGAGGTTGGGAGACAGCTTGAGCCCAGGGAGGTCAAGGCTGCAGTAAGCTATGATCTGTGCCATTGCACTCTATCCTGGACTATAGAGTGAGACCCTGTCTAAAAAAAAAAAAAAAACACCTGCTTAGCTTCACAGGTACAAATAGAAACCTGTGGAAATATCCCAATTACCTTCCAACAGCATGTATTTACTTTCAGCAGGAGAATGAACATATTTTACCTACTATTAAAACACTCTGAGCATGTCTGACCCGGTTCACTAATTAAAATATTCAACAGCATGGCCGCCAAAAAACTAGTCAAATAAGACATTGAGAGGGTGCCGTTGACAAAATCTACCAGGGAAGTGATACTGAGAATTCTAATTCTGTTTTTTTTTTTTTTTGGAGAAAAAAAAAAAAGAATTCTGTCTTTTGTGGCATGGATTCCAGAACAATGTAGAGCAGTATTTTCCAAACCCAGTAACTGTGAAAGTTTTCAGAACAAAAATGGAATCACTTTTATTCAAAGCAAAAATGAAAACAAAAGAAAATCCCTGGCAACTGTAGCAGGGAAAGCCATGAAAAGAGCATCTTGAAGCTTGTACGTCCAATAACAAAAACTGTCACAGGAGACTGCAAAACCCACACTTGCACACAGGACATCAGAACCTTACAGACAAAAAAACACTTCCTCAAGGACATCTGCCCAGCAACTGCCTGTCCAGCCTCGGACTGACGTCACCCTTGTTATTGATCCTAGGATCAATCACCAAGGATAATTCTTTCAAAACAATTGCATAATCCTCATTGTTTTCTCTAAGAACCTTCCTTTTTGTTTGCCTCCCTGAATACTCACATAGTTACTAAGGCACACATATTCTCATTATAATCCCCTATTCCCTAGAAAATGTCTTTTTTTTTTTTTTTTTTTTTTAGAGCGAGCCTCTCTGTTTGATGTTTAGGTTGGCACAATGCAGCATAATCACCTGAGCAGCTTATTAAACAGCAGTTCTCTGCTCTGCCTGGAGTAGTGGAGCCGCTGGTGGGGAGAGCTGGTGATAGGGATGGCCTGGGTGGTAGTGAGGTCTGGTGATAGAAGCCCTTTTGTGTCTGTGTTTCAAGACTTTCTCAGATTGCGATTCTGCATCTCACTGCACCCCAGTAGAGGACTTGTGTCTGGTCACTGTTCACTGTTTAGATAGTCTCTCAATGAGATATGTTTATAGGTTGAACTTTATATTTTCAAAAAATAACATTAGAACTGTTAACAGTCAAACAGGATTTTTCAGATGAGTCTTTTCTGGGCATAACTTACTTTCTAAGAAGCAGTGGCTCTTCTGGGCAACTTTAATCTTATAAAGCAACAGACTGAATGCAAACATAGGTGGGCTGCTCCTCAGATAGGAGTCACACTGGTGCTTTCATGTGTTACGAGATTCTCACCTTAGCAGAGCACCCTGAAACACCGAGCGGGTAAAACTGTTCCTTCATTCTCTGGAATTTACACACAAATGAAAAGTGAGTGTAGATGCAGATAGCAAAGTGTGTCCATGAGCCATGGGCTGGCCGTGCAGAGATAAAGAATCTTTCAGTGCTGCTGACCAGTCTCAGTACATTGAGAGTAATAATAGAAAAGCTGGTTTTCTGGACAATGCAAAAGTATGTGGGAGAAGAATATTAACTAAATTAAATAGTGACCAAAGCAATTTAAACCAAAGTTGCCCATGCTATAGTCGCCATAAGATCATACCTTTTTGCTGCTCACTTTGTAAATAAAGCAAAGAAAGAAAGAAAGAGAGGTAAGAAAGGAAGGAAGGAAGAGAAAAGAAAAGAAAAGAAAGAGGCCCCAACGCAGCAAACAAACACCAGGAATTGTTTTCCAAGAAGCAGGCTCTGTAGTCACTGCTGAGGGGTCACTGAGGATGACAGTCAGAAGGCTTCTGTCCAAGTATCTGTCCTCTCCTGTCACTTGCATTTGCATTTTTAACCAGAAGAGATATTCGTAATGAGACATGAATACCAACAAATCCCTCTGCCACATATTCTGTTTAAGAATAGAGTCTTTTCAGAAATTTAAAATAAAAATGTTTCTGCAAAGAACCTCTGCTTACACAGAAAGCTCACCTATTTACCTACCTACCTGTCTACATATCTACCCAGCTACATACATGCCTGTCCACCTACCTGTCTACCTGCCTATCTACCTACCTACCTATCTATCTACATTTCTACCTAGTTATCTGCTGACCTACCTACCTGCCTACCTGCCTATCTAGTTATCTACCTATCTACTTACTTTCCTATCTATCGCCTGTTATGCCCCAAGCATTGAGAGTAATTCCGATCGGAACGCGTCAGTGACCAGCAGGAAGGGACCTCAGCTATTGCTCACTTTCACCGCCCTGCTCGGACACAGCTGCACTCAGCCCTTTCAAGGCTATAAATGCTTTAGTTTGGGTTAAATACATGTGCGTATACATACACACGCGCGCACGCGCGCACACACACACACGTCTCCATTACTTTTAAGAAAAATAAAAATGGGGTTATACAGTACTGTTTAGATTTTAAAAAATTATAACTAGAGGTCCTGGAAGTCTTTTTATATCAACGAGTCCCAGTCTACTTTTTCTTTGTGAGAGCTGCACTGTATTCCACCTCATAACTGATTTAGCCAATGTCCTTTTGGTGCACATTTCCAATAGATTGGGGGGTTATTATTCTGTAACTTCATTAGTAGTGACTATTCTTAGTGGAAAATGATTTATTTTTATTTTTAATTAGCACTTAAATTTTATCATCTTTCATAGGCCTAGTGTTTATTTGCATTTTACTTTTTCTAATGAATTTATTCTTCCTGTCCTTTGCCTATTTTTTGTTTTTCCTTTCCCTTGTTGATTTGTAAAATGCTCTTTGCCTATTAATTTAGTCATTTTTCTGTCAAGCATCTTGAAAACAATTTTTGCTGATTTCTCATTTATATTTTAGCATTGTTTGTGGTATTTTAAAAATATAGAAGGACAGATTTTTATCTGGTCAAATTTGCCATAGTTTCTTTATAATTTCCACAACTTTGGAGCATTTTGAAATAATTTTTACACTCCAAGATGGTAAACTTCTATCAGTGAAACATCAGTCAGTTCATATGAAAAAAGTCATGTCTTAATGTACTTTGACATTCAGTATATTATTTACTTGTTTAACTATTTTATCTATCTGGAATTATTTTTCTAATTTAGCTGTAATTAGTGAAATGGAATTCAGTTCATTTTATTTCTGAATGGCTAACCACATATTCCCCAGACTACTGAGCCATCTGTTGTCCCTCCGGTGATTAGAACTGATGTTTTATCTCGTACTCAATTCCTTCATGCACTCGATGTCCTGTTAACTGAATCCATTCAGAGGTCCTAGACCAATCCTAAATCTACATGGGATGCTTCGCTGGAGGCCGTGTCCCTACTCATAGAACTTCCTCCTCCCTTGCCCCATCATGGCACTTCCTCTGCTGGGCTCGCTGGAGCTCATGAAGGAAACGCCCCTGCAGGTTGGGATCTTCCTCCATGGGCTCTGCATAGTTTCCCTCAGTCCACGTTCCGTCCAGCCTCAGGCATCAGGGCAGGTACCTCCGGGCCTGGAGGATGTGGGTGAAGGGGCCGGTGCCCTCGTGGCTTCCTGCTGGGGCTCTTTGTCCCCGTCCCAGCTCAGTGCTCCAGAGAGGCGTCCCTTGTGCCCTCCCCAGGTGATGTCATCTTGTGGGTTCTGTTGTATGGAGGTACCTGTGGCTTAGTGAGGGCCACAGGACGCCTCTGGCTGGCCTTACGTGAAGTTGGCACCCTGGGAACACCAGCACCGACTGGTCTGTGTCCTCCAAGAACTGCGTCCCTACCCTTCTACTGTGCGCCTGACTCACGTGGGACAACATGGTTGTCTCCACCCTCTTCCCTAAAATGACACATCTCTCCAAAGCCTTCTGGCTCCTTCTGCAAATGGATTTCTGACAAACCCAGAATTGTGGTCACATTGAGCAGGCTTCAATCCCAAGCTGGATCCCTCCCCTCCTTTGGCCCACCCATTGCAGACACACTGAAAAATGCACATCTCAGACAAGCTGACATAATAGAATATGTTTGCACACACTGAATTCTCCATGATAGTACTTAAAGTTTGCATGGTATAAATTTGGCATCACAATTACTGGCAGTGTTCGAAATGGATATTTCATTTCAGATTGTGCCATACAGAACGGTGACTGAAAGGGTCTCCTTCAGTGCAGTGGGAGGACTGAGTTAAGCGGAATATGTGTCAAATATGTGTCAAATTGTGTGAATCAAAGGAGAGGTGTCCTAGTTTAAGAATTGTGGATATGTTAAAAATGGAACACACAGAAGCTCTTCTATTAAAATTATATTTAAATTAGTAATACATTGTTAAATTAATACATTGATAACATTTGAATTTTTAAAAAAATAAAGACATGTTTTTAATGTCTCATGCCTACAGCTTAGTGTATCTGGGACCACAATTCATGCGTAGCTTCTGAACTCTGGCCAGTGCTTTCTCCTGGACTATATTGCCTCTCAGTCACTCTCATCTAATGATAATAATAATAGCTATAATTATTTGATAGAGATTAGTGTGTTGAAGTCTGATAAATTAATGTTAACATTCTCAGATAAGTTTGACATGATTTTGTTCCTAGGAAGCTGTATTGAAAATTTGTTGACTGAAGCACTTCCTTAATTCATCCACAGAACACCAGCCCCATGGAATGCTTTGGGGAAGAACATGAAAGGCTCCTGTGGCCAGGGATGTCTGGTGAATGCCTGCTGAGTGTCTTCAAGGGTTCCTGCGCATGAACACCGCGGATACCTTCACAAGTCCTGAAATAGTCTTATTTGACCCAGCTGTACCCAAACTCAATTGACTGTAAAAAAAAATACTGCTTTAATATCTACTAAGCATCTATGAACTAATATTTTACAAAACCCACTTTTATAAACTGCTTTCCGTTAACCTTTTGGACAAAAGCTACCCAGTACTGGCTTCATCTTCTGTGTCTGCAGGAATGAAAGAGATTTAACCAGCTCAAAGATATAAAAGAAGTAAATTAAGTCAGAATCCTTGTTCCAGGACTGGAAGGAAATGAGCTCAAGTTCCAGGCAACCCCATGTCCACAGACCTCATTAGTGCTGGTCCCTGGGCTGGCGTCTGGGTTCAATTCCTTCTGATGAGATTGGCAGGCACAAAACCGACTTTATGCAGGTAGGTTTGGTATGTAGGCACTGCTTTTTTAGGCATAATTGTGATTATTACTTTCCACCTTTTAGATCTTGGTTTTCATATGGAATCAGTGATATCTATTGTCATGTACCCTAAAAGAACAGGTACAGGTACTTGTTTTGGAATTCAAGTTTTTATTTCTTTCAAATGCTTCAGTTTTCCAATGTGGTTGATAAACACAGGAATTAAGAGTAGACAATGACTTAATGTAAGGACAGTTTTCTTCTTTCTAGAGTAATTTTCTAACATATTTGGCAGAATCATATAAACTATATAGTAAATACTTACTTTCATTTTAAAAGATGTCTGATATAAAATAGGAGGTCCAAACTTGGTTGGCTATGTAGACAGAGTCTACTTGGATTCAAATTTGAAAGATTTCTTTTAAAGAACTGCGAAGCAAGTCTGCCTGCCTTGAGCCCGTGGAGAATCTGTTGTCTTCTCTTTTTCCCATCATCTCATTCCCCTGAATGCACTCCTTGTTTGCCACAATAGAGTTATTTATGTTTCTCAGGTGGAATTTCTTTTGGCTGTAGGTGCATCAGGCATGCTCTGAAGGGATGTGAGCCTCATCCTGGTAAACAGGGAAGGCTGGGCAAGGAGGAAACCAAGCACCCGCCCGTCTCTGACGTTTCCGCATGTTGCTGGCTGTCCATCGGCCAGGGCTGCTCTCTGGGGCATCACTGTTTCCTTGGCTGAGCTTCAATCAAGAAAAGTCTATCAGTACCTGCTGTAAAAGCACACAGACCGCATGGTGAGGGAGGCAAGTTCTTCTTGGAAAAGGTCAGTAAACACGACAGATCCAATGCTGGCTCATCACAGAGGCACAGACTTCCTTTCAGGCTCCCTGTCCAAGAGCCACCTCGGACACTCCTTCCAGTGATGGATTTGCCCCGAACCTCTCTGTTGGAAATAGATGCTTGGTGCTGCAAAGAAAAATTAGCACTGAGATAAAGGCCTGTCAGCAACACGATTTTTACTTCCTGGGCTGCAGGAGGGGTACTCTCGGTAGCCATCATGCCACAAGAGTACAAGGAACAAAGGGAAACACACACATTTCTTATGCATTTGGGTTGTCCTTACTGCTGTGTCTGATCTCTGTTGGCTGGAGCCAGACCTCACAATCTAAACTAAAATCCAGTTGGCTAACAACTTAAAACCTTACTAAACAGGTAAAGGCAGTGGAGAGCTGAGACATGCCTGTGAGCACGTCCAGCACAGATATCTTGGTTAAAGTACAAGGACAGAGTGTACTACATGCCCGTAAGCGTGGCATGTTTAACAGCTGCATAGGATAGGGCTTAACAAAGAGTTATTAGCACACTTGTGATTTAACAAGAAAGGAAACTTTAAAAAGGAAAGCTAGAGACCTGGGCACCCCACATTCCGGGACTGTACCTGTGTTGTTTTGCTGAATTATTCTTCTTTCTTTGCATTTTATTATGTATTTATTTATTGTTTATATAAATTTAGGGGGTACAAGTGCAGTTACTTGCACATATGGAGTAGTGATGAAGTTTCTGGTGTCACCATCACTCGAATAGTGAACGTTCTACCTTCCCCCTCACCTCCGGACCTTCCTCCCCTTTTGAGTCTCCAGTGACTGTCATTCCATGCTCTGCGTCCCCAGGCACACATTAGCTGCCATGCAAGAGTGAGGATGTGTGAATTCTTAAAGAGACTCCTGCCCTGCCTCAGGCCCCTGTATCTGCCTGTGGTGGGTGAGACCCACAGTTCCCTTCCAAAAGCAGCTGGTTCTGTTCTGTGAATTCCTTAAATCACTCCATGTCTTCTGGGAGAGAGTGCGTTATGGTGCCCCTCAAAGCCGTGCACAGCTCATTAACCAACTGGGGCTGAATCTCTTCTCCTGTGAGGCTCAAACCCAAAGCGCACATGACCTGGTATAATGTGAGCCTCGGCTCTGGGGTGATTTCACTTAATTTCTCCCTATATTGAAAGATTTCACCTTCAACCACCAGCAACAGGGAGCACATAACATAGGTCATCCATGTGGAGGACGCTGGTGATGGAGACAAACTTGATCTGGGATGTGAGATAAAGTTCCTTTCTGCCCGCTACCACTTTCTGTCTGGCACACTGAAGAATAATAATTTGATTTGCAGAGATCTGACAAGTTGATGGAAAAGACCAGCCCCTGGTAGCTGACACAGGGAGAGGAGTAGTAAAACATAAGTGGGTCTTAGAAGGCCGCTGATGTGCGTGCAGCGTACTTGACAGGCATCCAGGATGCCCCAGACCTGCTCTGCTGCTGCCCTGGAATGCCCCACACTGGCCAGGAATGCCACAGCTGTTCATTCATGCGTCGGCCTCTCCTTGTTCACCCTAAGCCCTTGGTCTCCCCTAGCTGATCCAGTTTGTAGGCAAACCACGTTTTTGGACTGATGTTTTGCCACTGAGATGATCGGAATTGTGACATACCCCACAGTGGGAGCAGTGGCTTTCAGAGTAGGGAAGTTTCTTGTACTGATTGTTGATGCCATAGTGGCCAGGGTCTCGGAGAAGCAGAGCCAATGGGAAGTGGAGGGATAAGGAGATGTACTGTAAGGGACTGGCTCACCTGACCATGGAGGCTGGGAGACCCCTTGACCTAGTAGCTGCAGCTGGAGCCCCAAGAGAGCTGGTGGGGTCATTCCAGGGCCTGAGAACCCAAGGTCTGAGGATGGGAGAAGATGGCGGTGGGGAAGGCCAGCTTAGCAGTCCAGTGGTCACCCAGCCCTCTCCCACCTGTGTGTTCTGTTCAGGCCCTCAGTGGCTTGGATGGCGCCGTCTGCAGTGGGAGGGTGGGTCTGCCTTCCTCAGTCCACAGATCCTAGCGCTGAGCTCTTCTGGAAACTTGGAGCCCCACCAAGTTGACCTGTAAAATTTACATAACCGCAAGCCTCACATAGACATATTTTTAATATCCTCTCTCTCGTTAGCCACCTCTTATCTTCATGTTAGCTCTCTGGGGGATTTCAGCAGCTGTATCCTCTAACTGCTCCACTCTGTTTTCAGCTGCTGTAGGTTTAATTTTCCTGAGTTTCTCCTACCATCTGACAAGTTACCGAGCATGACTTGTGATCCCTCCCTCGGCACGGCTGTCCCACACCTCAGCATTGCTGGCGGATCCCTGGGCCCCTTTCCCACTGCCACTGGTCAGCAGTGCTGGAGCATCTTCCCCGTTTCCATCACAACCTTCAGACCCCATAAACCTGTGGGGACAGCCTGGGCTTCGGATCTGGGTGCAGAGCCAGGGCCTCCGGCCTCACTCGCAGGGTGAGGACAACACTTACAGTGTGGTCTTGGGGTTCCGAGGGCATGGAAGTGTCTGGTTGGTAGAAAAGTGAGTCACTGACATCTGTAGTGTCCACCTGGGTGAGGCAGGAAGCAGGAGGAGTCAGAACAGAATCAGAACCCTCAGCAGCTGCAGCAGAGGCTGGAAAACACTGGGGAGAGCAATCTCATGAGGGAAAAGGATTTGCAAGCCACGGTTATCCCCTAGGAAACATTACACACAAATCAGCATTTTGTACATAGTTTATATTTGTTTTACTTAACAGACACGCATATGATGCTGAAACCGGACCAGGTAAAGTTCAAGCATCTTCACAAACACTGACTCATGTAATCATCGTTCTACAAATGAGGAAACTGAGTCAGAGACCAAGTCACTTGCCTTATCTCTCAGATGACCATAGGTGGCTGAGCTGGGGGAAGGCCAGTGGGTCTGTGTCAGACCACTTTGCCCACCTCAGACAAAGGGCCTGGAGGTGTCTGGGAGGATGAGGACGAAGGGAGGAAGTGAATTCCCAGGAACCAGGGATGACAGAGCAGCCAGAGGCTGGGCAGGGAACTAGGGGGAGCTCTGGGGTCTTAAAGAATAACTGGGTTTGAGTCTCAGCCCTGCTATTAAATTAGCTCTGTGACTTCAGGCCAGGTGCCTAACTTCTCTGGGCCTCACTTCTCTGCTGTGTGAAATGCCTGGGTAGGCAAAGTGATCATCAGGAGATCCTGTCTGTAATATTTCATTTTTTAAAAAACGAACATTTTGACCTGTTTCACATGCTGCTGGGTTGCTGTCCTTGACGAGGCATTTTATGGAAGGTTCCTTAACCAGTACCTGCAAAGAGCCCTAATCTTGCTTTTCTGGATGCAGATGGGCTGCGAAAATCGTTCCATTAGTCTTTTTCCCGATTGTTTCAGCAGGGAAGTAAGGGAACTTGAGCTGGTAGGGCCTGGTATCATCTCTTAGGTCCATTTCCTTAGAAAGAACCAGCCACCAAAATCCCGCCAGCCTCCCGCCCCTTCCCACCTGTTGCTCTGACGTGCCTTTTCCCTAGGTAATGATTGTTCACTCTGGGGAGACCCTGCTGAGGATGTGCTGAAGATGTGCTGCCATTTTCAGTAGCTCATAGTGTGCAGCAACGTCCACCTAAAAGACAATGTTTTAATTTTTCATGAAAATTTCAAGTATTAAAAAGTTCCTTTTTTCTGATTATAAAAGTATAATATGATCATTGTAGAAAGTGTGAAATGCACAGCAAAGTATTTTTAAAAAGTAAAAATTACCCAATTCTACCCAACCCACATAGGACTGTAAATGTTTCTGTGACTCTTGGAGTAGCTGCCTGACAGCACTCGGGAAATCCTGGATCAACTTTTTCTTGCTCAGAATGTGGAGTGTGTGAAATGTTTGCATGTGGCTATTTTTCAGGTTGTCATAATCATTTTTTAAATGTTGTATTGGCAACAATGACATTTGTTTTTATTTTCTTATGACTGATTTTAAATATGATTCTATGCATTTATTGAAAATTTGTATTTTTTTCTTTGTGAAATGTCTTTGCTCATATTTTTTTTATTTGGTCCTGAGATTATTCTTGGGAACACCGTGCCAGGGTCTGACATAGGTTTCTCTCATCCTAACCAAATACAAGCTCTTCCCAAGCAGCAGTCTACACTGAGACCTGTTCATCTCATACTCGGCTCCCTCCCTCTGTGAGTCCTCCTCCTCTTTTGACCCCACTCACATAAGTAGCCCACGTTTCTTCTTGCTTCTCCATAAGGATTTCCACTCTCTCAGCAGGTAGGGGAATGCAGAGATGTATTTGCTGGGCTCACACATGGAGGGCCTCGGAGGAGGCAGTCCAGGACAATGGCCAGTGTCATCACTGTGCTGTCACTAGGACTGACATTGGAGACAGTGTCTTGGGCTCTGGAAGGAAGGGAGCGTTGACAGCTGTCATTATTTCTAGTCTCCCCAGGGGATGCAGGCCACTACATGCACCTTGCTAATGGCCTGCAGTGATAGCATATGTATCAGTGTGAATAATCTTGCTTAGTGAGAGTAATGGGCTGGGTGACTGGGTCTGTCTGTCTCATTTCTACTGGCATAAATAGATCGGGGCACTATCACTTCCACAGAGGAGTGGAATTAAAGAGTCACTGAGGGCATAACTTTTGGAAGGAGCAAAACTCTGGAGATAAGGCTTAGCTCGGGAGTGTTGTGTATGTGTGTGTTTCTAGCTGTCATGGTCTGAATGCTGGGTCCCCCCAAGTTTATCTGTTGAAATCTGGACCCTCAAGGTGCTGGTATTAGGACCAGGACCTTGGGAGGTGATTACATCCTGAGAGTGGGGCTCTGATGAGTGGGTTTGGAGACCGAGGGAGCTTTTTGGCCTGTCCACCCTAAGAGCATGCAGGTTAGAGGCTGTCTTCTGTGAACAGAAAGCAATCCCCCCACAGACACCAAATCTGTCAGGGCCTTGATCTTGGACTTCCAGGCCCAGAAATGTGAGAAATCAATGCATGCACAAGTCACCCAGATTATGGCCGGTGTTACAGCAATGAGTGGACCAGGACAGCGCCCATGTGACGCCAGACTTTGCTGCGGACGCCTGCACTCTCTCCTGCTGTGTCCTCACCGGCGCCATCCTCCCAAGGTGGAGTGGTGGAGTGTTGTCGCCATCTGTCACAGACATTGTCACTGTCGTGGACGGGCAGTCAGTCACCCAAGTGTCTGGTGCCAGCAGTTGCACCCACAAACTCCCCTGGTGATGGGGCTGAGGGATGTATCGGGGGCAGTTCTATG